GCCCTGCCAGCAAGTTTACAGTGTACTCATCTGACCCACGGCAAGTCTCTACCCACAGTACCATCTCCCTCATCCATCTCCACCCAACACCTGACAATGGCACCCACCTCCTAAGCCTGAGACCCAGGGACCAACAGCACCCACCCATTGCTTAGCCACTCATGCAGGCACCCAAGCATTAGTCTCTCTACCCAGCTGCCAGCATCAGGAGTAGGTGGAACTGTAGTGCCATCTTCTCCACCCCAACTGCCAGTACTGGGACCCACAGATGAGTGGTGCCTGCTGCTCCACCTGCAAACCGGAAACAGCACTCTTGTGTCCAGCCACCTGTGCCACAGGCCAGAGGGCTGGTGCTCCACACTCCCCACATTGGCTCTAGCAGGCAGGGGCATGCCCTCCTAGCAGACACCTGCGGATTGGTGGCATCCCGTCTGCTTTGCCCCTGCATTGATTGGGTCCCCTTCTGCAACTGGAGACTTGTCCCCATTCCAACCACCCCTGCCCACCTGGTACTGTCAGTGAGTTTCTGTACCACCCACTTGGCGACCGATGATGACAGAAGAAAAAGGCTCAGTAAACACAAAATTAACAATGAAAATCCACAAACAGAGCTCAGCACAAAAAAATTAAGTGGAATAAAAGAAATCATCAAAACCACATACACAAAGTCACAACAAAATGACAACAGTAAACTTAAACTTATAATCACATTGAATGTAAATGGCTTAAATGCACCTGTAGGGAGAGGCAGAATGACAAAAACCAGGATCCTTAAATATGCTGTCTACAAGAGATACACAGTAAGTGTAAATAAAGATATAAATAGGGTAAAATTCAAAGGATGGAAAGGAAACTAACCATAAGAGCAGGAATGACAATATTAATGTGATAAAACAGACATATGGGCAAAATTCACCAAAAAAGGTACGGAAAGACATTACCTAATTTAAATGGTCAACCCACTAAGAAGACACAACCATAATGAATATATATGAACCCAATGGCAGGGCTACAGAAATACATGATGCAAATTTACAACAAATAAAACATTTAGCAACACTGAAATTTTTCTTTATGTAGGATAATCATTCATTGGTGTGTTCAAAAATGGATCTGCTCCTGCTCCCTTGGCCCTTTCCTTTCCTCTACTTTTCTTCTCCTCACCATCACAACCACCCCACCACACACACAAAACCATAAGCTCCATTTGGGCAAAAACATGCCTCATGATAAACACCCTGAAGACACAACTTTCCTCATAATGCAGTGCACAGTGAGAGTTACACCTATATGTCCTATTATCTGTCTTACAAGATTTGAACCATTTTCCCTGTTTATAATGTACATATCCCTTCCTCAAAATTTATTATCTAAAGAGCTCTGGTAGTATAGTGCTTACAAATCGGGCTGCTAATCTCACAGCAGATCAAAACTACCAGCTGTTCCACAGGAGAAACATGAGGCTTTCTCCTGCAAAGATTTACAACCTCGGAAACCCTACGCAGGGTCTCTATGAGTCGGAACTGACTCCACGGCACATAACAATAACAATTACATTAGGGTTCACATCTTTACTTTCAGGGAAATTATCTCAATATATCCAGATCCACATGTGTGTGTGTGTGTATGTAAAATCTTGTCATCTTGTCTAGTCTTTGTGCCCTCCCAGCTTTCTTTACTCGCTACAGAGATGAGAGTTATGGAACTCAGCCTGCAAGTCAAAACTAAAAATGTGAACATCATGACCAAAAACTGGGGAAGGAATCTTGAAGAACTGTTTACAACAATGCTGGCAAACTCATAAAGCAGGATTCAAATATGGTAAAAAACAAAAACAATATACAAAAACCT